ATCATCAACACTCACACCAGACCTTGGTGTCATCATAACCGAAGCATTGATATTGATCATGCCGAGCTACCCCTGAATGGAGTGTCCACAGAGGTCAGCCGAAACCTATGATAGTATATACAACGAATGCCACCTGCTGTCACTGTGCAACTTGATAGTCACCGATACCGAGACAATAGCTGTCACACAGTTTGATAGTCACCGAGTATCTCGACAGACCGACCTGGGTTTCAGGCGCGAGACCCCTGACACTTTTGCTGATGCGATTCACAGTAGACTTGCTCAAACTGAGTTGCTTGGCAACTGAATGGGTAGATTCCCCATTTTGGAGGTGAAAGAATGCTGATTGGCATTTCTCTGGGGTGGTTTTCAGCATGATGGTATAGATATGATGGTGCCAGACTGGAAGTGCTGCCAGATTGCTCACAGTCATCTGATTGAGCTGAAACTTTCCACATCACTACTTTCAATGTGTATGAAGGCACCCACCAAGTTACATTGCAAGTTTCATTGTAGTCAAAAAAGCCCACAAGGTCAGGTATGGAGTGGTGTTGCTATTTGGGAGCATGCTCCATAAACTGTCCCACAATAAAAAAAATTCTCAGCTCTTCTTCATTGCACAATTTTCTTAGCCAATGTCAATATCATTTACACAGTCTTGGAGAGAAGAAGCAGGGCTTTCAGACAATATGAGACAGTGTGGCAATACAACTTATGGCTATTGAGCATTAGAGTGATGTATGGTGACATGTAATTTGTGGGACAGTTTATGCACGAGCTGTATATCAAGCAGGGAGCTCGAGGCTCCCTCCACATTCTTTCCTTAGTCAATTGAGTATATTTGTTTCTGTCTAAAAATAGCAGTGACATCGTACTTAGACTTGTCAGCGGTCACGTGCCTGAAACCCGAAATCTACCGGATCAGTTAATTTCAACCAGTTTCAATGAACTCTCTTGAGTGTGCGCCTGTCAGCCACTTTCACTGAGACTGCTTGTAGTGCTGGTTACCCAACAAGTTTTGGCTAACCACTGTGAACAGGTCCAGTGGTAGTGTGGCACAGTCTAGTTCCTAACTGTCTTGTAGGACACCTTAGCATATGGGATGGTAATGTTTGGCTCAGCACAAGTGTTCATAGTGTCAACAACCATATGTTGAGTTTGATGAAGATTGCCCAGACTGCAGTATAGGCTGCCTTCAGTGTAGGATCACACTAGCCAGACTGCAGTAGGAGAACTGCCTTTGGTGTCAATAGATATCCAGACTACAGTGAACTACTGCCTGTGGATGATGTCAATAGGGGTGATACAACACACCTGCTTGGATTAGTAGCAACAGCGTGCATTTGCAACTATGTGACAGAACAACTAAATATAAGTTACAGTTAGAGTATAGTTAGTTAAGAATAGAGTGGATGCTGGATCCACTTGTCTACTATGATGGAGGGAGCCTATATATATTTTAGCGCCATGGTGTTGACTGCACCATGGCCCTCCTCTTGAGGAGGTGTGGCCTCCTCTCAGTCCGCTTCTGTCTTCCCTGTGTCATAGGCCTGGGTGTGCAGGGCGAAGGAAGACCGAAGTTCATATGAAGGTAGTGCAGGAATTGAGGAATCAGGCAGATTGTGGGATTTCCAGAAGAATTCAGCAAGATCAGTAATAGACACAGTTCTATGACAGATCTCATTGAATCCTGCACAAATGAAGTCATTATCATGATTTCCACCGAAATCTGTAGCAAGCACAATCATATGGCAGATTCTGCAGAGATCAGTGACAAGGACATCTGTAAGATGATTTGCATGCAGGCCAGGGCTAAGTGCACATATGGAGGGGACCAAGCTCCACTGGGCTGAGGACCAAGCCTTGCCAAGAGGGGGACCGAGCTCAGTGGCACACAATCAGTTACCACTCAGGGGCACACATGATAAGGGTAAAGGAGGACCATCACTGGTCAAAGGAAGGAGAGTGGTGTAAAGGACACCAGCAAGAAGGACATGAGGAGGAGGAGTAGTGTCGATGGAGTCAACACAGCTCAGGAAGGACAGACAGGATAGTTCAAGGAGGAGGAGGAGTCTTATTGAAGAATCCTGTATAGTACTCGATGCAGAAGGTACTCTCTGGAGAGAGAGCAGGAGCAGTGTCACTGGCAATGCTGCGAAGAGGTATAAAACCATACCTTCTCATCACAAATGGTTGAGTGGATCCCCATCCACTCTACACCATACAAACTAGTTATCACTTCAACACAAGTATACATTAGTTTTCAGTCAGCACAGTTGCAATCACAAGTAGGTTGCTTCCATGGTAGCATGTGTGTTGTATCACTGCTCACTGACATCTGAAGGCAGTTCATAGTAACCAGCAGTCCTGATAACAATTAGAACCAAAGGCAGTTGTCCACTGTGGTCTGGGGATCACCTCAAGCACTTAGTCAACACACTGGACACTTGTGTCAATGTCATCAATCCATACTCACACCAGACCATTGGTGTCAACATCAAGTTCACTTAGAGTCATATTGTATTTGATTGTGCTGAGCTACCTCTGGATGGAGTGTCCACGGTGGTCAGTTGAAATCTGTCATAACATCAATACAACTACAGATTCCAATGAGAAAAGCGACAGAGATGGCTCTGTCGCATATTTCACTAGGAATCGAAATACCATTAGTGCTGTCACATAACTCGACAGAATCGGTAATAGTATCAATACTACCACAGATCTCAGTTTTCAGGTGCATGACCCCTGACACCCTGCTTCTACCCCATTCCTACCCTTCCTGCTCCTACTCTCCTTGCCAAAGCAACAACCCTCCTATGCCAACTTCATTGTGCTCAGGGGTTCTCTCCCACCTCATCAGGTGGCGAGCTCTCTTGTCCCTTGCCTCCTGTGGCTGAGCCTGTGGTCCTGGTTGAGCAACCCCTATCCTGTTGTGGGACTGGTTGGTCCACTTCATTCCAGGCCAGTTTTGGTGAAACTTGTTCAGTCCTGCTGTCCCAACCATTCTCGATGAGGTTTTACCAGGGCCCTGCTGTTTGACCATTCTTGATGAGATTTGCTGGAGCCCCTGGGTTTTGACCAGTTCCACCTCTTGTGCGCCGAGCTCATTTCGGCAGCTGCGCAGAAACGCATGTTTATGATCTCTGCGCTGGCCCTGTGACAAGACTCTACCCGATCGCCAGTTTTTGGGACCAACCTTCAACATTAGCGACGATGATTGGGAGATATCAGTATAAGTACGGTGTTCAAGCTAAAGAGCAAAACACTATACTATATTGACATGTGAAGAGAATGTGGCGGGAGCCTCGAGCTCCCTGCTAGATATATATACAGATGTGCAGCACATACCCAAGTGTGGTTGCACCCTACTGTCAGAGGTCTCGCGCCTGAAACCTGATATCTGTAATAGAAACATGTCTATTATGAATCCTGTCAAGATATGTGATAATGTGTTGTGTATTATTATTTCTATTGAGGTATGTTGTAGAGAAGCCTCTATGACTTTTCTTGCCCAAAGATGTAGTAGTGTGTTTGCTATTGCAGGTTTTGACTGACCACTGTGGACACCCCATCCAGAGGTAGCTCAGCATGATCAATGGTTATATGAACTTGTACTGACACCAAGGTCTGGTGTGAATGTGATTGCCAATGGCACTGACACAAGTGTCCAGTGTGTTGACTAAGTGCTTGAGGTGATCCCCAGACCACAGTGGACAACTGCCTTTGGTTCTAATTGTTATCAGGACTGCTGGTTACTATGAACTGCCTTCAGATGTCAGTGAGCAGTGATACAACACACATGCTACAATGGAAGCAACCTATTGTGATTGCAACTTGCTGACTGAAACTAATGTATACTTATGCTGAAGTGATAACTAGTTATATATGGTGTAGAGTGGATGGCGATTGTCATGGGATCGGGAATCGAGTAACCAAACCGAACATAGTGAGCAGCAAAACCACTACACCAGCTAGTCCCTTAGCTGGTGTACCCAATTCACACAACACTGAAGTATAAGCATTTTCACTCCCAAATGCTCTGGACTCGGAGAACAGAACCATTCCAGTGACAGCGATCCACTCATTTGCTATGACAAGGAGCATGGTTATATACCATCCTCGCAGTGTTGCCTGCAACACTGCTCCTGCTTGGTGAGGCCCCCTCAACCCTATGTCTCCTCCTTGTCCTCCCTACCATTTCCCATCCATGTTGAGCTGCTGCTTGCTGGCACCGCTTTCCCTTCCTCCAGTGGATGGATGGCCCTTGTGCTACTTCTTCATCATCAGGGGCTGTTCCCACTTTATCTGAGTGGCAACCTGCCTCCTTTCATCTCCCTCCTGTCACTAGCACCCATCTGCCTGCACCGACTTCATCATCATGCAAGGTCCCTGCTTCATACAGTGGTGACTCTTCCCATGTTCTCTGTCATCCCTTTGCCATATCGGCAATAGAGGTTTCTCTCAAACTGATTCTTGTGAGGCCTGTTGTAGCAAATGTGATCCTACTGATTCTACTGACTCCTGTAACAAGACCCATGCTCCTACTGATCACGATGAGTTATATTGTAGAGCTGTTGTTCCTACCAATCTCACTGAACTCTGTCAGAACTCTACTTTCACCCAATCTACGATGGTTGCGCCAGATCTCTTCATATGAGTTCCGTTCTTCCTGCGCATCCATCCGGTCCCATGACACCTACCTAATGACAATGTACAGCAACGAGTGGGACATGGTTGTACCTGATCTCTTTCTTGTATTGGCCTTGCTTGATCCCAATCAGATCTGTCTTACCTGATACCTGATCAGATCTGTCTTGTCCAATCTCTGATTGAACCTGCTCTGCCCAATCTCTTGCAGATCTGGTTTACACCATCCTTGAGATCAGACTGGATTGTAATCTCCAACACCCCCTCTTGATCTGGTTTGTCCTTATCATACTGTCAGGCCTAACAATTGCCAAAGGTATGCAAGTCTCAGTGCAGCGAGAGGCTTGGTCAGGATGCCCACCAGGTTCTTGCTGCTTTGGACAGGAGCTATTGTGAGTTGGCCATCAGCAACTTCATTGTGTAAGAAGAAGTGTGCAATGTTGATGTGTTTTGTCCTCTTGAAATGCTGTGGATCATTGGCAATAACTCAAGCTCCAGATGAGTTGCTATACAAGATTGGTATGGTTGAGTCAAGTGCTAGTTCCCCATTGCACAAGTGCAGTACCAAGGTTTTGGCAGTGATATGGATTGCAGAAGCCCTTGGTAAGGACTGGTCCAATTTGCACTGGAACATGGATGCCCATAGCATTTCTCTTGCCACAGCTCCCAGTGCAACATATTCAGCTTCAACCGAACTGTTTGCTGCTGTTAGCTGAAGTTGGGAGGACCTATGTCATAGGGCCGGATGCGCAGAAGCAGGAAGAACGGATGCCATATGAGGAGGAGTGCAGGAATTGCAAGATCAGGCAAAATAAGGGTTATGGCAGAGTTCATCGAGATCTGTAGTAGAGAGGCTCTATGACAGATCTCACCCAAATTGGCATGAGCAGGATAATATTGTGAATCCTGCTGGAATTGGTAGTATCTTGTTCATAGGATAGATCTTGCCAAAGCTGGAGAGACCACACTGATTTTCACAAGCCTTACAGCAGGACAAGATGTCATAGGCATCAGGTCTGCCACCCTGATGAAACAGGGGGCTGACCCAAAGATGAACTCAGAACAGGAGGGTGGGTGAGATGAGTGAGGGAGGCAAGTTGCCACCCAGATGAAGTGGGAATGCCCCTGTCAATGATGAAGCAGCATGAGGACTGTCCATCCACATGAGGCAAAGGAAGCAGTGTCCACAAACAGCATCACAGGGTGGATGGCAAGGATAGGAAGGGTGAGGAGGAGGAGCAGTGTCGAAGAGGCCTCCCAGAGCAGGAGCAGTGTCACAAACAACATTGTGGGAGTGGATATATAACCATGCTCCTCATCATAGCAAACAAGTGGATCTTCATCCATTCTACACCATACATTACTAGCTATCACTTTACAAACAAGTATACTTAGTATTCCATCAAACAGTTGCAATTGCAGAGCATTGCTTCTAACATAGTGCATGTGTTGTATCACCACTCATTGACATCTTCCAAAGGTGGTTCATTCTGTGGTCTGGATATTGATCAACACCAAAGGTGGTTCATACTGCAGTTGGGCTCTCTCAATCATTGGAAACTGAAGGCAGTCTTCCACTGCAGTCCAGGGATCACCTCTCATCCAATCAACACACTGGACACTTGTGTCAAAACAACATCATCAGCATCAGACCTTGGTGCTCACAGTGTTTCTATAGTTATTGATTGTGCTGAGCTACCTCTGGACAGAGTGTCCACAGTGGTTAGTTGAAACCTGTAGTAACAATGAAGCTATCACATATTTGAGTGAGAAAAGTCATAGAAGGCTTCTAAGACAGATTTCAGCAAGAATAATAATAATGGCCCTTTACCACAGATCTCGATAGGATCAGCAGCAGCTGTAATTCTACTACAGATATTGGGTTTCAGGCACGCAACCTCTGACAACCAACTGCATATGGAACTGTCAATGGCAAAGATGTACCCTGTTGTTGAGCGACTACATTCACACAATCCAGCCCAGTCTGAGTCTGTCCAACCTGTCAACATCTGTCTGCCGCTAACCTGGCTTGTGTAAGCGGTCATGCGCCTGAAACCTGAGTTTGACGATCCTGGTTGATCTCTGTGAGGTCAATTGAGTAAGCTCTTTCCAAACTGTTTCAGTGAGAGGAACCAGAGGGCTTAATTCTGGTAGGTTTTGACTGACTGCCTCTGAACAGAGTGTTCAGAGGCTATGTGGTCATCCAAAGAACTTGCTAGGAGTACTATATGATGCAGTCTCCTGTATCAGCACAAGTGTTTGTAGTACTGCTTGTTGCTTGATGGTATCTGATGATGTCTGGACCACACAATAAGGTTATCGCCTGCAGATGAGAGAGGTACTGGACTGCAGGTGTTGAAGAACACTGCCTACAGTAAGAGGCTGGACCACAAGTGTTGAAGAATGTCATGGGACCGGATGCACAGGAAGCAGGAAGAACCACAGTCATATAAAGAGGAGTGCAGGGTTCGCAGGATCAGGCAAAGCGAGGGGTTACAGCAGAGTTCATCAAGATCTGTAGTACAAGGGCTCTATGACAGATTTCATCCAGATCAGTACAAGCAGGATCTTACAGCAAAACCCACTGGAATCTGTGGTATCATGATTGTATGACAGATCTTGTGGGGAATGCCAATCTCACAGATCTCACAACAAGACAGACATTGAAGGCACTGGGTTTGCCACCCTGATGAAGCAGGGGGCTGACTCGATGGTGAACACAGAGCAGGAGGATGGGCAAGATGAAAAGGGGGTGCAAGTTGCCACCCAGATGAAGTGGGAAAGGCTCCTATCAGGTAATGAAGCAGCTGGAGGACTCTCCATCTGCAAGAAGCGAGAGAAGCAGTGCTAAAGGCCGGCAGGACTGCTAGGAGGGAGCGTCGAGAGGAGGAGGAGCAGTGTGTCATAGGAGCTGGATGCGCAGGAGGTAAAAAGAAGTTGAAGTCATATGAAGGAGCGCAGGAATTGCAGGATTGGGCTACACAAGAGCTTAAGGGAGAGTTTGCTGAGATCAGTAGGAGAAATGATTCTATGGCATAATTCATTGGGATCAGTAGGAACAAAGTGTCATGGGCCTGAATGCTCAAGAAGCAGGAGGGTCACTGGTTCATATGGAAGGAGCACAGGTATCAGAGATCTAGTTGATACCAGTGGTGAGCATGGTTGTAGTGCAGTCTCCATGGAGACCATGGACTCCTACAGACTCACATGCAAAGGAGGTCTGGGCCCATATGTGAGGAGGGCAGGCATAGCCACAAGGAGGACTGAGCTCAAGGAAGCATACAGAAGGTTACCACTCAGGGGCTCAAGAGACAAGAGTCAAAGGAACTGTCACTGGTCAAAGGAGAAGGAGCAGTGTATAGGAAACCAGCAAGCAGGTCCTGAGGAGGAGGAGCAGTGTCAACTCCTTCGACACTGCTCAGGAGGCACAGGGGTGCCAAGCAAGCAGGACAGCAAGGAGGAGGAGCAGCGTCGAAGGAGTTGACACAGCTCAAGAGGCACAGGGGTGCCAAGCAAGCAGGATAGCTCAAGGAGGACAGGAGTGGTGCTAGAGGGGCCCCCTGTACAGTACTTGATGAAGAAGGTACTCTCTGGAGAGAGAGCAGGAGCAGCATCACTGGCAATGCTGTGAAGAGGTATATAACCATACTTTCTCATCATCAAAGGTTGAGTGGATCCTCATCCACTCTACACACACCATAACTAGTTATCACTTCAGCATAAGTATATATTAGTTCCAGTCAGCATAGTAGCAATCTATCAAGATTGCTCCTCATTGTAGTGCATGTGTTGTATCACCACTACCTGATGTCCGAAGGCAGCCCATAGCAGGTCAGCAGTCCAGATATAGATAGAACCAAAGGCAGTAGTCCACTGCAGTCTGGGGATCACCTCAAGCATCAGTCAACACACTGGACACTCATGTTGATGCCACCAACCTTATCACCAACACCATCAACCTCATCATCATCAACACTCACACCAGACCTTGGTGTCATCATAATCTACATATTGATATTGATCATGCTGAGCTACCCCTGAATGGAGTGTCCACAGAGGTCAGCCAAAACCTACGATAGTATATACAATGAACGCACGCCACCCGCTGTCATCGCGCAACTTGATAGTTGCCGAGCGATGTAGCTCGTCGAGACCGATACAGTTGAAGATATACAAGTCCTGTACACTAAGTTGGGCTACTGACAAGCTCCTAACACAAGTGTATAGTTTTCATGTAAAAGTCTTGAAATTTAAACTGTATGCTACTATGTATATGGTTACATATATATACCTGATGATCACCTCCAAAGTTCATCAATCCATGATGAGTCACCTCTTATTGTTGCCCCTGAGTTGTGATTTCCTGTGTGTCACTATGACAATGTATGTGCATCCCACATGCATTGCCACTTATGCATGGCTCCTCTTAATCAAGAACTAGCTCATGTTCTGTGGACTCCATATTATTCTGTGAACCCCATTGGGATGCCGATGCATCTTTAACTCCCCCTTTCGATGGCATTACCAGCCCTAACAACTGAGCTAGTTGAGACATTGCTAGACCTTTCAGTGGCTTTGTTAGTATGTCTGCCACATTGCTTGCTGTTCCAACAAATTCAATTGCTATCTCTCCATCCTGCACATGGTCCCTGATGAAGTGATATCGAGTGTCTATGTGCTTCAATTTCCAATGTTTTGCCGGATCCTTGCTCACCTGAATGCATCCCTGACTGTCAGTGCAAAGGACTGGTTGGATTGTTCCCATCTCCAGGTCCCTGAGGAGATAAGAGAAGAAAAGTGCCTCTCTTGCTGCTTCTGAGGCAGCAACAAATTCTGCTTCCACAGCTGATAATGCTACACACTTTTGAACATGTGATTTCCAGCTAACAGGGCATCCATATATGTATGTTACTGCTCCTGACGTACTCCTTCATCCATTTGTTGGGTCTGATGCCCAGTTTGCATCTGTGTATGTGATGACCAGGCATTCCAAGTGCTTGCTTGATCTATCTCCAAAAATCAGTTTGTACTCACTGGTTTGGTTTAGGTACTTGAGCAGATGGATTGCTGCTTTCCATGTGCTACTTGTTGGGCTTGACATATATCTTGCTAGTACCCCAACTGTGAATGAAATGTCTGGTCATGCAGTGTTTGATACCCATAATAGTTGTCCCACTAGCTCTTGGTATTGCTTGGCTTCCATTGGGTTACATTTGTCTTCCCTTGTAATATTAGCTATTCCTTGCATTGGTACCCAGGACTTCTGATTAGTTGCTTGTAACCATTTGCTCACCATCACCTTAATGTAAGCTGACAGATCAAGTGACATCTTCTTCTGTGTCCTATCATGCTTGATTCTTACACCCAAGAACTCCTTCACTGGTCTGTTATCCTCTGTACCCCATTTTGCCATTACTTCCTTCTTGGTGCAGTCCACCTCCTCACAACAGGGGGATGCTATGAGCATGTCATCCATGTATGCTGTAATTATAGTTAGACTACCCTCAGTTCCTCTCAAGTATAAGCAAGGTGCACTCAGCATGCAATAGAAACCTATGCTTCACAAGTGTGAATCCAATTCCACATTCCACTCTCAGCCTGATTGTTTTAGTCCATACAGTCCCTTAATTAACTTTAGAAACTTTCCTGGGGGAACCATTGTTCCAATTGGCAGCTTCAGGAAAACATTGTGGTGTAGTGTCAAATTCAAATATGC